TCCAGTAAGTCACAATCATGTGTGGAGTTTGAACATGAATTATGAATAGTCAGCAACAAAGAGTGATTATTGTTCTTTTCAGTTTGTTTCATTGACACACTTTGGAAGCCCTCGATGCTGCTGGCAGCGATATTGAAAATACTCCACCTTACTTTGAAACAGGTAAAGAGTTGGATCTGAGGCGGGCCTCTGTCAACTCAACCTAGCCCATTACACGCCTTATTAGGTATAACTCTTAATATAATCAGAAGTGTATAATGACTTATTCACAGTGTGTACCATTATAGAAAAGAGCTATTGATACCAAATTACATTTTTAAACCAGACTGTGAACATGTTCAGTTTACTATGGGCATTTTTAGGTTGCCACTTGGTTTCATTTGAAGAGTTCTAGGCCTTAAAAGTAGTCTAGTATTTTAAAAGCAACCTTATGCTTATGCTCAGTTGGTAGAGTCATCGTGTCTCAACCAGAAGGTCGGGGGTTCGATCCCCAGCTCCTGCAGCAACATGTCCAATGAGTCCTGGGCAAGATACTTAACCCTGTACTGCTCCTGCTGCTTTGTTGTTGGCATGTGAATGTGATCAGTTATTTCTGATGGTCTCACTATATAGCAGCCTCTACCATCAGTGTGTGAATGTGTAGGTGTGACCTGCAGTGTAAAAAAAGCTTTGAGTAGTCAGAAGATTAGAAAAGCGCTATACAGGCTCAAATCCATTTACCTTGTCCTGACCTTTAAGGAAAAACATTTCTGATGCATCCCCTCCGCCTCGATGTACTATTTTTCCAAACTCTGCCTGCTCATATTAGGACAATTCATATAGACATACACAACATGACAGAATTAGAATTGTAATGCAATGTGATTTAAACAAGACTCAATGAGTCTCAAGCCACGCCCTCAGTCCTTTGATTCCTAGTTCCTTGAGCTAAATTCTGATGTTGACATGTAAATAATGATTAGGGAGAATTAGTAAGTTTCATGTTATTTATAATGTCTTTTAGGAGTGTTAGCATGCTTAAAATGTCTGCTCATCTCCTAGGTTAAGAACTATTCAAATTGTATTTATTTTCTTGTGAATATTGGACAAATTAAAAGAAAACAAATGTAACATTGCTTCTACTGTTTGGGCAAATAGAGTTTGACAGCACCATCATGTTGTGGATGTGTGTCTTTTTGGAAAAAAATAAAAGATTATGTTTCGAATCCAGTTGACTTCATGAGCTGAGGTGCAAAATACATTATTTAAAGTCTATATTGAAAGTTGTTTGCACAGGTTTGAAAGACTGGAACAGAGGATTGAGTCTTTTCTAAATGTTTTTATCCTCCTTAAACATCCAGGTGGCCGTTCAGCCACGGGTATAAAGATCTGAGAAGACCCTGCAGACCCCAGACCTACATGAGCCATGAAATGAATGTGTTAAATCAGAAGAGTGTGAAGTTGAACTAACACAGCTAATTGGATTCTGGGAAGTGTATTCAGTCCTCATTAAAAATCTTGGCAGGAGAAATGTGTATCTATAGCTGAGCTCAGTTAGCTGACTGTGATTGAAAACAGGATAGATGCTTTGGTGAGATGAAATCAAAAAGTACAGACGTCCCAGCGTGTCGGTAACGAGTCAGTCGAAGGTTTTTACACAAAGTGTCTGTCAGAGTGGATTCGTGACAGTATGGGAGTGATTTAAAGCCTTTCAAAACTGATAAGACTTGAGATTATTTTGTGTTTATGGTAAGTAAAAATCATTTTCTGTTTGTCTGTGACAGTTCACTGACATCATGGAGAAGGCAAATGTTTAACCAATAGATCCAGAGCTGTAAAAAGAGTGACTATGACAAGAACAATAAATTCAGGGTTTAAGTTTTGAGGTATACCAACTTCATGCTTGATTCAAATTTTAATCTGTGCCCAGAAACCACATTTTAGTAATCAGGCAATCAAAAGAGTGTTTGCTTAAAATCTGCATCAGTAAACCAGAGCACAAATAACTCCATAAACTGCCAAGAAAAGCAGAGGGTTGAACGTTTTTTATTTGTCACTGTGTTTTTTTTTTATAAATGCCTTACGATTTGTCAAAAATAATCCACTTGGTCCTTTCTTCCTGGTAAGTAGGACGGTAAGTGTTTTTGTCACCACCCACCTGTTTCTTAGTTTCATCTTTTTGAGGTCATTTTATATTTTGATTGTTTTGTGTCTGACTGGTCACATCAATCAATCAATCATACTGTCCCTGCTGCTACCACGACAGACCTTGGATTAGCGGAAGAAAATGGAAGACATGGCTTGTATCTATCCGTTATATAATGAATAAATGTATTGCTGAGTAACAGTTACAGAAGAGGCCAATTCTGCCCAGTGTTCACACTGATGGTGCTTCATTCAGCTTGTTTATGTCAAGTTGTTCATCATTTTTGTTTTGCCCAAATGAAGGGATGCTGATTGCAGAATCAGAAGAGTGCAGCTGACTTTCCAAGCAATGAGAATACTTTTTTTTTTGTCTCAAAAACATTTTTAAAAAAGGACCTAATCCTCTTTGGGCTGCATATCAGATTCCAGATCAGTCTTATGAACAGCTGCACTCGGTCAGACCACTAAGGGAGCGGTGGGGGAGGAGCTGTGCTGAGGAACAGCTGAGGTATGACCAAAGAAAAGTTTTTTCCTGGTAGACAACAGTGCAACATATAGGATATATACTCGGACAGTTGCGTACTATACCTTCAAAAACAAACAAGCAACTTGATCTGTGTGAATGTGGTTTAAAGTGAGACAACATCTAAAACCTTATTTTAATCTGTACATGCAGATATCTTAATAAAGATTCAAACAAAGATAAAATTGTATTTTAATGTTACTATTTAGCTTGCAGCTAGTCTGTTTAAAGGTGATTTCTCAATACTTGGACTACAAATTGAAAACAAATAATTTCAAATACCAGATCATGTCTCATGCTTTCAGATTCTCATAAAAACTCCTGAAAACCCACCTGTTCTACTCAGCTTATGACCTCAGTTATATCCTGTCACCCCGGGCAACCATTGCCTTCATTATCTCATCTACTTTACACAGTGATTCATTTTGTCTTTTGTTAGTGTGTGATTTGTTCTGAATCCTTGGGTCTCTTTAAAGCTGTATTATCATATACAGAGTTCAGTGGTGTAATCATCTTCTATTCATCGAGGCTGAGGACGTGTGACATTTCCTTCAGTTTAATAACCTGAGTGTGGACAGAGACACAACTTTATAAAATCAATAGCAATACATGAAGTACAAAGATGCACAGTAATACACATAATAATAGTTAAAGAACACAGTTCAGCACTGCATAAAAAGTACATTAAAAACATGTCCGAACATTGGTTTATCAGAACATGAACAGCATCATATAAATATACATTTGAGATATCTGTGTATCAGAAACTCCTCTTATACGTGATTCCACGTTTAAAAACTCCAACATCCCTCTCTGTGCCACATAGCTCTAACAGGACCCCCTTAGATAGAATCTCTTTAAAATATTTACAAAATCTGACAAATATCACACTGGAGGGAAAACAAAAGTCATGCCTTTGTGATCGTTAGCATCAGCTTGTAAACAGTAAGTACATATTGGCAACATGCAGGATAGACCAAAGTCAATAATAGTCAAAGGATTTGCAGCTGGGATCAACGTCTGTAACCCTGAACGGGATAAGCGGCATAGATAATGGATGGATGAATGGATGGATTTGCAATATCAAGCAAAGGCTGAATGAGTTCACACAGTATCCAACATGTTTCTTGTGTTAGTGCTACGGTCGCCACTACATCCTCATCCTCACCTGATTCTGTCGTCTTGAACCAAAGAAGCTAAGTGGAACATAAAGAGCTCCCTGTTGGACTACTGGTCTTTAAAACAACATATTTAAAAAAACCCTCCCCCGCTGACGATACAGCAGGGGGCGGAGACAAAGTACACTAGTCAGGCTCAATCTGTGAGTTCTCCACACGAGATCCGCTACCTGAAAAGGATCTGTATGACAACAAAGGGGGCATTCAACCACTGCTAAAAGTTCTGCTTAGTGAGGGGACTTCACACCAAAGACTTGTATGTACCACGTGGTATCAATCACAAGACACACACATGCAAAAGCAATACAAGTACACCCTCAAAAACCAGATTTTTTTTTTAAATGTATCTAAAAAAAAAAGGCCAATGTTTTACCTGCATATTTAAATTTATCATTTGACAACACCTGCCATCACTTTAGATACAAATCATTTTAAACACAATACCTTCATAGACCTGTATGCTCAATACAAGAAACACACATTCTCTAACCAGGAATGACTGATTTAATGGCAGGGATGTCTTAAAGGAGTCTGGTGTCTACAACATATTCTTGTTCACGGCTAGTTTGCTCACTTTTTTTCGTATAGTTTGCTGCCAATGAGAAGAAACAATCAATCAATAGCACAGCGACTGGGCTCTCTTCTTCTTCTTCTTCCACTGGGCGTCTCACTCTGATGCTGTGTTTCTGGGAGGTAGATTTCGCTGTTTAAAATACTGTGTGACCTGCTGAGGCAGCTCGGCCAGGACTGACTTGGCGAGGGTCTCCTTGGGTGCCTGACAGAAAAAAAACAAGAGCAAGAGAGAGAATTTAACTCCAAGAGAAATAAAAGACAAAAGGCCTCATTCACAAAATGTTCCTCAGAGGATATTTCATCTTAAAACCCACGCACACAGTTTTCAAGAAATTTCTGATATTCATCAAAGTTTTCTAATCAGGGACTTATTCTCAGCAGAGAAGAAAGTCTATGAAACTCGAGAGCCTTCATACGCACATTTTTAATGCTGATATGCAGGGCACAATGGTTGTGTATTGTGTTTTTTTAAAACCATTAAATAACATTTTAAATTTTATTTCCTAGAGACTTCTTTAGAACAAGTCTAAAATCTAGGGAACT